AATGACACAAGAATCTAACTTCAGTATTACCGCCAGGGTACCGTAACCCAGAGCGGCGCCCAATAAATTGTCACTCCGCAGCGGACTTACGTGCAACACTTATTTTACGCCGGTCACCAGTCAGCACCAGTCTTCTTCCACCTACACAATGGATCTTATCGGCGTGGTTACAACGCTGGCTCGGGTGTCTCCAACTACAACTTACACTTTACTTACAATTTACTGGGCGCCATTTTGGGTTATGGTACCCTGCCGGAAATACTGAATCTAGATTCTTGTGGAAACGATGGCCTGCTCCGAATCATTTGAGAGGCTGTCGGCTAAGTCCCATAGAAACAGATACAATTTGGGATCTTCAATAAGGTACTACCTTAGCTCAAACCACTTCAATATATGGTATTTGAAGGGAATGTAACGGACTCCATTCACTGACAAGCTCAGTGTAATGTTAGAGCACCGCCATTTGCAGGCTAACGCGATTTTGTCATATCTGACAGAATGGGTATTGATCTCTCGCTCCAGTGCATCCTCTTACAAGCTCAAGCTACCAATTTTTCTATAACTAAGTCTTTTACCTATCTCCATTGCATACTTGTTCGTAAACACTAGCTCTATTTACCAACTTTAAAGGCAGTTGGCACGATAAATCGCTATACAGGTGTAGGATTTGTACAACTGGCTTAACAGAATTCCGTGACCTCGGACAGGCGCTGCGTGAAGCCTTTTCCAAGGAGGGTACCTCTATAACGCCCTATTGAGCAACAACTTTACGTCCCAAACGCCTTCCTTGCCCGCCCGCCCACAAACGGACGACCGTTTCTGACGCTCGTATTCATTCATTTGCTGAGCAAATTATGAAGCAAAGGGATTGGTATGAAGCGGCGGTGATGCTGCATGCATATATGGGTACACATATGCAGCCGTATCTTCGGTAGCGGTGATTGGCAAGATGCGTACGGGAAACTCGTCCGAAATCGATTTACAAGTCACTGAGAACGGAGGCTTTTTCTTCGCCGGATTTTGACCGTTTCACTCCGTTCTTTCGCCATTTCCCCACTATATAGCTCCCTACTAGCATTTTAGGCGAAGTAGGAAACCATCGTGCCAACTGCCTTTAACACATCTGCTTTATGTCGTGTTCATGCTATGCGATTCGAACTACTCTGTCGCGCGAATTTGAGTGACCGCGTCCAATCGCTAATCGTTGGACCGCGCGGAAGAGCACCTACTCTGAATGGAATCGAATATAAACTCGCAGCGGTTCACAACTAGCAGTAAAGCCCAATCTGCCACACTCTTGCGACCCCTAACTTGTACGACATCGTTCGATTCGCGAAGTGTGAATGCGGCCTTACTCGATATTACCATTGTCTTCTTGTTCCGTATGAACCACCCTCACTGAGGGGCCTCGTGGGACTGGTAGAAAGCTGTAGTTTGTTCCAGTAGCGGCAAAGCGAACCACTTTCCCATTACTAATTTTTTGCATGGGCACTGAAGGTTAGGAGCTGTCATGGCATTTTACCAGTAGTAGTCACAGGATGTGCGCATCACACATAGGAGAGCCCTTGCGGCGCGGTTTGTGGATACGAAAGGGTTGAGAAACCAAGAACCACTAATATGCGGCCGCTTTGATTAGAACAGCGCTGGGCGCAGAGCAAAGGAGTTCCACTGTAGCGCTAGATCAACGCCACTAACCGACCATCCCCACATATTATTCATGCTCGACTTTTTGAAAACAAAAATGTAAATAAGGGCTAAAACTGCGGTATACGAAGCCAGGCAGATTTGCAGTAACTAAACCCTAACATCTAACCCAAACCCAGTCCACGGTAAAACGTTCTTCAAAGACAAATCCCGCTATCAAGTGTTACGGGGTAATAGGTGGTTCAATCAATGAACCCAGTAGACTTGTAACTAATTTCAAGTGGAGAAAGAAGCGAAAAACAAGCCCAATCACAGGATTCGACGTGCCTCCAATTTTCGGCAAGAGCACAGGATATCACTCTACGACGCTCCAGGCAACGCTATGTACATATGCAATTCCTCTTGTAAGCCGCTGTCTTGTAGTATCAAAGTAATCATGGTTGCAATGGTTGGAATAATCACGCGTCTCTAGCTTCTTTATTTGCCGTGGCGCGTGAAAAAAAAGTCTCTGTGAATACGGACAACGGTGCCAAATGCATGGAGGCATTTCGCGGATAACATGATCGCGGGAGATGTCTTCCAAAAACATGAAATCGCGCGAAAACAGCACCGACAACGTTGTAATGGGACGCTATCAAAACAAAGATTCAAGAAGAACAGAAAGAATAACAACTTTCCACATCCATGACAAATTGCTTCGGGAACTGGGACCGGCGATTGAGAATCGCACGATTCCCAAATCGCGCGACTAAATCGTTCGAGGCGTGAATTATGAACGCGGCCTAAAATAGTAAGCGCTACCGACAGGCAGCTCCGTGACCACCACGTAAATCCGTAAATGGCTTGTTTCTACCATTAGACGGAAAAGAATGGTTCTTGGTTTCCTTCAGTAAAAACAGTCGTTCTTAAATGGCGCTCAACTTTGTACTGTTGGGAAGCCCTCCTACGGCGCAATTCCAGGAGATCAGTGGGCATATTAATGTCTATTCAAACGTTCTGCATTTGTAGAAACAATTCCAGGTAGTGCGAATGAGTTCTTTTTCTTCGTTTTAGTTGAAACTATTGAGTTCTTTTTCTTCGTTTTAGTTGAAACTATTCTTATTCATTCAGCTGGGACCAAAACAAATGAAAATTAACGCTAAAAAACTCCCATAAAAATCAAAACTAACCGAGAGCAGTATATGATACTTCAGCACACGTTGCATTGGAAGGCATAGCAAATCTTGTAATTTAAATTGGTTATCGTTCACAGATGCTGTGCACTCCTGAAATCATCACAATCGTTCAAATCGTGCAAAAACTGTTGATGGCATGACGCAAAGCATGATGTAAAAGAAGCCGCTCGTCCACCACAACTGGCTTCGAAGACTGATCACCTCGCTTTAGAAATTCATCTTCATGAAAACTTACATAAATCTTGGCTTTGATAGTAGGGTCGTTCTTTTCGAGCTCAAGGATACGTGCCCTCGAGTCGCTAAGGCCCATACAATATGGACCATATGCGATAAATTTGTCCTTGTGCCTTGAAAAATACAACAATGATGAAAAATAACAACAGAATAAATTAAACAAAATAAACAAACAACCAAGCGAAAAAGTTAAATTTTGAAGAGCGTCCCAAGAAAACAAACGACTCACTGGACAAAAACATCGCCAATAGTACGTCCTAGGGCCAATGAGTTTGGCCGACCCTCGTTGGGTTGGTTCAAACCCAACGTTTTCAGCACTGCAAGTCTCAGATCGCTATAAAATGAGTGGTGCAAATTCCACAGTGTCTGAAACTAGTGTGATTTTCGGAGGTAAATCAGTCACCAAGCAACAATGAACCTACCATGATATTCATGAAGATCATTTTGTGATCGGTCTCTCGAATAACCTTCTGGAGCGGCTCATAAAACTTGTTGATTATCATATTCAACGCCTTTTCAACATAGTTTTGCTCCGTGTCAAGAAGTTCTTTCATGCAGTGTTCTCGTTTGGAAGACGGTAAGAAGCTTGACCAGACCTGGAGCAAAACAAACGATTAACACTGGATGCTTGGAAGAAACAAAGCCAAAGATTTAGATAAAGCTTAAAGGCACCGTTCAGGACAGCCGAGTGGGCGGAGCTAGGAAGCGGTGTCATTGGCGCGCCCCTGCTCTTCTGGCCTTCTTTACAAGAGGCACGAAGAGAATGGGCACACCAAAGACGTCGTATTCCGGCAGCGCCCCACGGCAGTCCCGATCGCTGTCCCTGGACAAGTAGTCTAAGGCTCAAAATAACTAACATCATGTTTCCGTTGACTATCTTTTCTACAGACGATATGGTCATAGATGAATTGGGGTTCCTCTTCCTCATTCCTGAACAATTGAGATAAAAATCAACACATCTGTCGCTATTGGTAAATCAATCAGTAAATAGTAAATGTATAGTCGTAGTGATAGTAATAGCGCAACAACCTACTTCAATGGTGAGATGTCATAGATGGCAGCGTCCAAGTCAACTTTTTCTACATCATCTTGTAAACTTCGATAAATGGCTTCTTCTTCCGGAGGAGGACGTATTCGAAGAGGAAGATTAGGAGACAATGTAGCATCTATTTCGGAGGGGAATGGTCTAAACAAACAACATTCCCTCAAAAACTAGTTATTACTGGATATAGCTGTAAGGTGTACAGAACGGTGGAATCCTTGCGGTAACGTGACGGAAACCAGCTAGGAAGCCATGCAAAGTAAATAAAGAATAAAGGAATGACAAAGAAGATCAAGTATCAGGCCCTTAGGCCGCGTTCATACCGTGCGACGTCTTTTGCGTAAGTTGCGTAAGTTGCGTAAGCTGCGTAGTTGCGACTGAAGAACACATACGTATCGATCCAAAGAAAGCTGCGTAAGTTGCGTAAGTTGCGTAAGCTGCGTAAGTTGCGTAAGCTGCGTAATTTGCGTAAGCTGCGTAAGTTGCGTAACCGACGACAACTTCGAGAAGAATAGATACGTATCGATCGGTTAGCTGTCGTCGGTTACGCAACTTACGCAGCTTACGCAACTTACGCAGCTTACGCAACTTACGCAGCTTTCGTTGGATCGATACGTATGTATTATTCACGAACCAGTCGCAGCTTACGCAACTTACGCAGCTTACGCAGCTTTCGTCGACGTTGACGTCGACGTCGCACGGTATGAACGCGGCCTTAGAAATGTCAGTGATTGCGGAACTGGCCATGGAAGAGCGAAAGCCGATGGTTACGGGGTTTCTTTTAACCGGATATTCTTTCGCTTTGAAGGTCCCGAGGTTTCTCAAGGCATCTACTACCGAGCATTTGGTGGGAAGAAAGTGAGGAAAACGGAGAAGAGGAGGTAGGAAGGAGGAAACGGAACGCCCAGGTCTGGCAGGCTTGTGTTTATACTTTGTGATCCTGGTGATTCGGAGAATGCGCCACAAAAGAACCTTGACTGTCGATCTAGAGAACAAGGGAATCAGCGGATGGGCGAGTTAAGAGGCTGCGCGCAAAAGGGCTAGACAGAAATGGATCCGGTTCTTCTAAGCTCCCACCCTGCTCCTATGCGGAGTGGATCTAGCTCCTGGCCACCACCGTTAAAAAACGAGCTGGCGCCGCTTCAAAATCCACATAACAATGACAAACCACGCCTATTCGGACGTAAAGGACTATAATATCCTTTGTGCACCACCAACCAATCAGACACCTTCCTATATCCCAGTTCTCCTGCGCCGCGAAGTATGAACGCAATTATTCGCATTTACAATCAATGTTCAAAGAACTACTGTTCAAAACTGTAGCGAAGAGAGTGGCAACGAGTAAATCATCAAGATTCTTGATAGAAAAAGTGCACTTTCAAGAAGAAATTAATGAAAAAAAATCGGTTCCACCAAAACTCTCACATACCTGACGTTCTTTGCCAATGCCGGCTCCGAGTAGGACAACATAGAAAGGACGGATAAAACTTTTGCGAAGTCTTGCAAACGAAACAACTCCCAAGCTTCGAACATTTGTTCTTGTTTCAAATTGAATACAGTTTTGCAGGCACCAAGGAATAGACAAATGTTTTTATGACAAGTAAACTGAAAATAGACATCTTGAACTGGCTTCTCAGAGATAAACCCCACCATTGCGATTTGGGGAGAGTGGCGTCCAATCAAAAACCTACCGTCGCTAACACTCTCATGGGAAGGAAAAAAACAAAAAAAAAAATCATGGAGAACACCCTAAGAAAAGAGCTGGCAGCCCCCCCCCCTGGACGAGTTCTCTGGAACTGCTCGTTCTATTCTAGAAAGCGATATACTACTGCCACTAGGTCACAAATCGTTTCTTCGCGTCATCCATTGCTTATATCATCCAATAGTGAAAAAAAAACAGAAAACGCGGGGTAGAAAGGGACTCGTGAGAGAAAATAGCCCTTGAGTTTTGGTGGGCGGAGCAACTAGGGAGGCATTAGAACTGCCACTTATGAGGGCCGCAGCGCCTTCGATACTTTCTGTGAGGCCGCGAAGTGGAACAGTCTTATTGTTAAAGATTGTGGGCCAGACTACTTGTACGAGCAAGGACACCTACGAATTACTTGAGTGTGGGGACTGTCTTTGCGCAAGGAATATTCATGGGCCACCAAATAAGGAACGAAGAGCTAAACAAGGATGATTAGGTGAAAAATACTCACTTCTGACATATGAGGTCGCCTTTGGATTTCTTTCTCCTCCACACAATTGGGGGATAATTCGTTTAACAGACGACATAATAGAACACCATCCCTGCAAGCATTTTAAATAGGGAATCGTAAATACAACAACTGGGTCAGTTGCGATGTTAACCCTATCCCATTCCCAGATCGACAACTTTCATCCTTCCGAAAGGGTTGGAAATGATTAATGGGACCAGGATTTCTTACGAAAATGCCAAAGAAAACATTTGTGAGTCTGAGGTCAACGGTTCCGAGGTTAAAGTACATTCCTCTTCCGACACTTTCTACTAGAAATTAATGAGCGACAGCGATCGTGTGAACGAACTGCCGGCTGACCTACTTATTTCTTCGCAAAACAATCGCTCACTAAGTCAGGGATCATTAGTTCGTAAGTAGTGAGAAAAACGAGTTCAGTTCAAGGACCGGCGCAGTTCGGCGACAGGGGGGGGGGGGCATTCCGCACTTTGTTTCTTCCCATCGACATGTCTAGTGGAGACCTGTGAAATCTTGCGAAGCCGCGGAATCATGCCAGCCATAGTTCAAAGAGACCAATTGCCAACTCTGGTAAAGCCACGAAGTCTTGACGAGCTTGCTTCAACTTTACAAAAGTACACAAGTTTCACCGGAGTGAGATTTGTGAACAAGAACTAGTGAAGCGGCGAAAGTGCAAAATCTCCCCCCCCCCCTTACCCGTCGCCAAACCGCGCCCACTGTTCTTACCTTAGCATTGTGGCGAATTCCAGCATCGAGTTAGTAGGTGCTATCCGATGATCGAGCACTCCCATGTCGACTAACCATCGAACGCATTCCTTCCATAACTCATTCCCCTCCAACGTGTGCATACGACCTAATACTAATTCAATTTTTATAATCTAATCAGAATAACAAGCAGTAAAGAGCGAGGTAAACCACATGAACAGGAAGATCTGAACAAGCTATCATCTTTAAGTCACTTCTAAGACGGCAGTTTTTGACAGGCTAAGAAAAATACATTCTAATTTACTCGGAATCTATCTGATATTTTGAACGGCACTTTGGCATCAAAGATAGCAGATAAAGCTTGGCTCCGGCTTAAACTGCGTAGTGTGCGCCGAAAGCTTCTGATTGGTTGTTGCAAACAATCCACCAATCGGAAACGTGTGTGGCACGCAGGGTGCTAACGTATTTGGGGAGGGGGGGGGACCACGCGGCTCGCGGTCGTGCGATACTCATCTGCTCTCTCTCCACTCTCGCCAAAGTATGAGTAGTAATTTTGTGTTTAGTGCATGGATATACCTAGCCTATAATTCTACTACAGTAACGCTAAAACAGTGCGAAAGAAACAGTTGTTGGCTGGAAGATTTTCTGTATCTAACTACAAATATTCTGGTTGGCCTGTTTGTTTGTTGAATCTTGTTGTTGTGACTTACAAAGGACAAACATTTGTTTCGGCTCCCTGTGGATTGTCTCAGCAAGTTCCGGTGAACCTTGTTCCTTGTTAATTTGAGCTGCTTAGAATCGTCGCTCTCGAAGTTATGCCGATGAAGTGAAGAGTGCCGTAGTTCATTTTCTCGTGCCGCGCGCATCGTCGTGGTCCCCCAATACGTTAGCTACCTGGGAGGCTTCCTAATACTATGGGCAGCTTCACTAATCAGTCGGGAGCCAAGGCAAACCAATTCCGGAAAATAATTGACAACCATTCACAAAAGAGACAATTCGCTGGCCAGTTATTACGTGCACAAGAGCTTCAAATTACTCTATTCGGAGAGCTTATAGCCACGCAAAATGCCCGGAAGCTTATCTTTGGTGGCGCAGACAACCCACCAACCGCAAATGCGTCGGCATTCAGGATTACCAGCACCTCAAGATTACCACAAGAAAATTGAAAGTGAATGTATAATGAAAGCAATATGTATAATAGCCGAACAACATAAACTCTCGCCTTATAACAACGGGGTTCAAAAAGGGTGGAAAGCCTTATTTACCAGATGGTACTCCTTACATCGCGTTCAGATTTTTATAACTCTTTGTATCTTATGATGAAATCCACTCTAGACGCATTTAACTAGTCAATCGCTCATTTGTTTGCACAAAACAGCGCTCATGGGATAGACGTCCAGTGGAATATGTCGTATGGAACACATCCTTCATGCACTGCTTCCGGCTCCAAAAAACAATGACGACATTTTTTTCAGATATTTCCGTCGGCGCAAACTTGTGTGAACAATGTTGTTGTTGTTGTTGTTGTTGTTGTTGTTGTTGTTATTTTACAGTACTTGTGATATCTTAAGCCATAGGAACAACGCTAACGCTCCCTTACTGCCCCCTTTCAGAGGCTAAAAAAGTGTCAAAGGGAAGTGGAACGATAAATCTTATAATCTTGCGAACAATGGACTAGTACATCCTAAGGACAGCTTGGCGCCTCTGGCAAACGCTTGTCTCGTCGCGCTTGTCCAAAGAGGTGCCCTTATAGCGCCCTATCGAAGCCGTAACATACACGCCCACGCGCCGGACCGCCCAGAAAAGTACGACCGATGGTGGTGCTAGCATCGCTTCGTCTGCGAAATACAATATGAAGCGAAGGGATTGATATGAAGAGGTTGCGGTGCTGCATAGATATATGAACACATGCATGCAGCCGTATCTACCGTAGCGGATATTGGGACGATGCCAACGGAAAACTCGTCCGAAATTGCTTTCTGAGTCGTGCAAAACGAAGGCTTTTCGAGAGTTTTTGGACGCGTGTTTCACTTCGATTTTTTTGGCCATTTTGCACTCCCTGCTGACCATTTCAGACGCGATACCAATTTATCCTGCCCCTATACTTTCGAAGGGCTCAGAAAACGGAATTTAACAATAGAGGTAGCCGCTCCAAGTCATTAGCCAGACATTCTCAAAACTTTAAATAATACGACAAGTCCCACGACAAGGTGTGCTTGACAAGTACAGAAAAAGAGCCATCAATTCGCAATTAACTGGTTCTCAACGCGAGGACATCGTGCCGTTTTTTTCTGTAGGGGAAATTGCTGAGAATCATTCAGGACATCAAATGTCATAATTAATCGTTAAGAATCAAAAAAAAATAAGATAGGCAGTTAAAATTTTCGTACAGCGAAACGTCGGGATATAAAGGTCATTTTGTTCTGAGTAAAAACGCACCATGATTCTATCTTGTTTAATTACTCAAAGGATCAGCTAATTAAACAACAAATGTAAATGGCAGTTTCATAGGAGCGGTTAGTCATATTTTGGCAGAAACTCAAACAGGTTAGATGTCGAAGAATACATGATGAATTGGTCACGAAAGATGAAACGATAAAATTTGGGGCACACGTAATAGATAAGTGGTTTAATTGGTTAGTATAAAATAGTTCAGTATAAAATAGTATTTTAATGATGATGATGATAAAATTACAAAAGTAAAATCTAATCGATTGACAGCGAATGGAGTTTGATCGGTCGAACACATTCGCTGATTGGCGACCGATCGATTGAGCTGAGAAGGCGAAGCTATGGCGCGGCGTTGGTGGCCGACCCGAACTAATACGATACGCCATCACCAAGGCCTCTATTAACATGTTTTTTCTTACTCAAAATCTAACTGGTAGACGACATAACTATTAACGATCGACGTGAGTTGGACATGGCGATAATCTGTAACAGTTTCCCGAGATTGTCAGCATCCTAGCAAACGATACGTGTTAGGTAATAGAACGAAACGAGTGTGGGTGCGGCGTCGGGTCGGTGGTGAGGCTCGTCGACGAAGTAGGAGGTAGAGGAGTCAGTGATGAGTGCCAGAGCTCATGACACTTGATACTGCGGTTTGCTGATCGCACTGTCTGCAACCTGTTCCCTCTACTAACACCAAATTGGTTTCTACTTCTTATGGAACTTTGAGTGAATACCTTCGTAGATCAAAAAAATGTGGAATGCTGACCCTCTACTATATATGATTTGCTGCGTTTGTTTGCTTGTTTGTTTGTTTGTCTGTCCGGAAATTCGGTTCGACCTGAAGAACGACTTGGAGAGGTCGGGTCAAGGTGGGGATGGGTAGGGCATGGGACAAGAAATAAAAAGCACACTTGACCTATGCGAAGCCCCGCCCAGTGGGCGGGGCATGCGCCGAAAGTTGGTGGTGCGACAGATAAAATTCATAATTCGCTTCCAGAGGCGAAAAGTGGAATAAGGTTAGCAAATGGTTGGCAGACTGAATGGGAGAAATACAGCCGGAACGGGCGGGGCGTGCCTGAGAATCCACTAACGAATAGGGTTATTGAATTCCATGGGGGGCTTCCTATGGAATTCAATAACCCTATTCGTTAGTTTGAAGATCGCAAAAAAGTCGATGTAAAAAAGGAACATCTGCCAACAGTGAGCATGCCCGGGGTGTGTTGAGACCCGCCCACAGTGGGCGGAGCGATCCTCCAAACATGAACCGAGCCCTCCAGGAATCGGAAAAAATTAGTTAGAAATATGAAGTTGAAAAGTCCTACGTGAACCTCTCAAGCAAGTTCTGAGCGGTCAAGTACTGAAATGCAGTGTTGGCGAGTATGAGCAAGGTTGAGTCTTTGACCAGCTCAAGATAAGATGAAAGTTGTCTCTCATAGAAATATCGCGCTAGAAACGTGTCCTACACCATGTTCAGGTGAAGTACGGAGCCGCCTGCTCTCCTTTCCGAATACGGAGTGGAAGAGGGCCCCAGAAGATAGTAGCTGTGAAGTGGAACCCTTAGCAGGGAACAATTGCCATTTTGAGATAAACTTGTCCAGACGACAAGACTGCATTCAGAAAACTTTGACTGCTCATAAATCGCTTGGAAGATTGCCGTAGCTTTTCTTATCACCACATTTACAATAAGGATTCCAGGCTATAGATTTATTGGGTTGAAGAAGAAGTTCGTAGTTTTTCTATATTTTCTTTTGTTTACAACGATTTTTCGCTTTTATGATCAGTGGATACTAATCACTCGATAGAGCTGTTTTCGGCCTAATAAAGGCTGTAGTAAAATCCGTCTGGCCCTACACATTTTACTATTATTATTTTGCACTCTAATTATAGGCGCCATTACGAAACGGTTACATAGATATTGACAATATTTACCGAATTGTCGAACGGCCTCTTCGCTTTTCTGTGTATTAAGCCTTTGAACAAGGGCACCTTCAGAATATTTTTGGGAAATAAGCAGGCTTACTCAAGCGGGGGAATACTTCTCTCAGCTAGTATAATGCTTTCCTTATATCCATAACTTGACGAAGTCTGGAATGCCTTCATAACACTGCACCGACACAATTGTTCCCTGTGCTGAGTATGTTACCGAGATTGTGATCTGCAGTAGAGCAGATACTAGAGATATGAGAATGAATGAATGGAGGATACAACACATCCACTTTCTGGTTCCAATCAGTTTCCGAGCTGCGCGGTGAGCGACCGTCGTGGCAATTTGTCTTTTTCGAGTCCAGAAACCCATGGATCTGAGTCAAACTGGACCAATCGGGACGAGAGGAACACGTGAGAAGCTAATCTCTTTTATTGCTGATATTGGGGCCCTCTGGTTTAGTTCAGTAGGGTCTTCTAATTTTGCTGTACCTGGTGTGGCAGAAGCCCCTTAGGCTAATGACCTTAAGACGCCGTATATCCTTCCACTCAATATCCTAGACAAGGTACAATTTGTCACACATATTCATTCACAAAATACCTCAATATCATGGTGCATTCTTACACGAATTCGAGATCGTTATTGCAACGACTTTCCACCGCGACTGCTCTTGACTTCAACTACTTATAAAGAACGGCCATGCTATGTTTAAATTTTGCGAGTGAGTATGGCTGACAGCGCAATTTCGCTGCACCAGGTAATTGCAAC